CTTTCACGTGACCAAAAAGGGGGTAGAAAATTGTATTCCATTACAATTGTATCTGCAATTCCGGTTATTTGAGTATTCAAATACAATCGACAAATACATTATCTAAGATGCTTTAAAAACAATATATGCCCAGTATTTTAAATGCGCAATTTAGATACTTTTATTTCAAATACTCATCGTCCCGGACATCAGCTGAAATATAATAAAGTCATCCCCCCCCCCCCCCCCCTCCCAGTCACACCAATGTTTACCTCTCGTAAGGATGAGCCACAAATAACGACAGTTCACTGGAAGAGTGCTTACATGCTCCCTCGTAATCCGCCGCTCGGAAGCGCGCCTTTCACGGCCCACCATAGGAGTGTCGGTGAAATCGGCGTTGGTTCTGAGAAGGTAAAATAAGCTTCAGCTGGTATACGGCGGCATTAAAAAAGCCACGTCACTGCTATGACTCCGGTGATTCTCTACAACTAGAAGGAACCATCACACGCTACTACCCTCGCGACTATGCGGTAAGAAGGCTAGCTCGTTCAACAGAAATGCTAAAGACTGAGAGTACGGTGGTAGCTCAGGGATAATTGGATCAGTTATTTGCCTGCCATGTAACCAAGTTCCCGCTCATATCCACAAGCATAGAAGGGGTGGGTATGGGCACCGCAGTCATAAAAATAATATATTTGTTGTTGATGTTGTCATGTCTGGACACAGCCGATGCTACGAGCTGATGGGACCACGAAAATGTACCAACATGGTGTTCGTCATGTTTCTGAACATCTTCTACCATGGCAGAACTAATCATGCACAGAGAGGCGCAATGGCTTGCGCTTTTGGAACTGTTTGATGGTCCCACGAGCACCGGTCGTCGGCTGCGTCCGGGAGTAAGCTGAAGTGAAGTATGCGTGCCGTCGAAAACGGAGGCCCCTCCCAGCTACTCCGGCTAGTCAAAGTAGCCTCAACATCTGCGCGCACTGTGGTTTAAGAAGCTTCGATGCCGCACGTTCAAAACAGCGCCGTTTATTTCATCGCTTCGACGCCTTCCCGCATTGTCGTCTCGTTTGATGTGTACGTTTATTTGCATGACTACCGCACTCGTTGGTTGGCATTTCGTGGGGCGGAAATGCGGGCTTGAGCGCCAGCTATCAAAGCCCGCCCTGATCCTCGGGGTTAACGTGTGCGCCGATTTGAGCAGAACACATTCGAGGCCATGGTTCAGCGCCCTGTCATTCGACTGACATAGGTTCATTTCAAAGGCAAGCGAACAACCAAAGTGGTTCCAATAACTGAACTACTGTATTTGTCCGTCTACACTCCGCAGGAGGAAATATCAGCTGAAAAACAAGTTTTTCGTTAGATAATCCGCACTCGGTGCATGGTGCGCACCTCGTGCATGATCCGAACGCTCACAGTTTTACGCAGCACATCTTGAAAAGTCCCTCGTCTATTAGCGCACAAACAATGGAACATGTATAGCCCGCAAAATATATTGCAAAAAAAAGACGTTAATTTGTATTCGATTCCCGCGTTTTAAAGCGGCGGATGACGTTGGCCTCGCTCTCCCGACCGTCACTTCTAAATCGATTCGACGCCCGGTGGCGCGTTGGGTATACAGAGTCCAGTAAGTTCATGAGAAGTTTCTAGCACGCTGATCGGCAGCTTTCTAAACGCACCGCTCTTTCAGAAGCAGCAGAAGGCGCGACCTTTCGCGCTTGGTGTTTAAATAAGATGGCTCGTAAGGGTAAAGCGAGGCAGCTAAACGAGCTGCCCGATTGAGGAAACAGTTGGACACCTTTGTTCGTCAACGCGAGGAAAACGTGTCTCCGCCGACCCAGCCACACTAAGGCAACAGCAACCATCGGAAAAATACGCTTTTGTTGCCCGAAAGTCATGGTTGACAACTTGTTTCCTGACAGTCTAAGAACATCACGTCCCACCGCACTGACCGGCCGAAGGACGCGAGGAACAGTCCGCCATCTTGCTCGTTAACCTCCGTTCGTGCGCGGTGCAGCGTCGCTGGGAACGTGTTTCAACGAAGTGCTACCGTGTCCGAAAGGCCGACAATTGCCAAGGGACGACATCCACCAGTTGAAGCGATTAAAGAACACAAACCTCAGGAGTATTTTCTGCTACTTATTTTTTATTGTAATACTCCTCATACAACGACGCAGAGGGCATATTGGTGGAAGGCGAGATGACTGCTATTTTCATTATTTACTCCAGCGTGATTTTTCGTGCTTTCCTTCATGTGCAATCGAAGCCGAAGCGGCGAGCACGAGCATGTTGCCCTGAGAGATTATGGCATAACCTCCCATATACTCACAAAGCCTGGCAGTTCGACGACGGAGCCATAGAGTGCCCGGTCGCAGATTTGGAGCACAAGGATCTGGTTGCACAGAGCATCAAAGAGCCATTTCTCCACGAACCTAGACGTCAGCGCACAGCTTTTGCTGCGGCAAGGACCCGAAACACACTTGTTCGCTCGGGACAAGTGTGTTTCGTTGTCTTGCCGCAGCGGGGCGCCAGTCACGTGACTCTCCTCTCGTCCGTTGTCTGCCGCTCCACCTTTTCCATTTCGGCGGCCGCAATTCCCGTGGCGATCTGCCAGGCTTTGCGAGTATATAGGAGGCCATGATTATGCTCGCACCGCACGAGCGAGCGCGCTCGGCAGGGACGCTTGAAACCCCGGAGCTGGCCTTTCAAGCTTCTGCCGTGAGGGCGCGAGTCTCAGCAAAACGCTGACGCAATATGTGTGTCGAACGTGGGCTCCGGCCTCGGTTACGCGACGTAGAAATTGCAGCACTACGGCGTTCTTACATACCGAGGGGCTGGTAGAACCAAATACTTTGTTTGCTAGGCGGCTCCCGGAACGCGTCTCTGGCTGGTACGTTGACCGCGTCCCAAAAACTGGTCTCTCCATTTACGCCCCATGACGTCATAAAAGTGTCACGCTGACGCCGGAATGTGGGAAACGCCTGTTCCGATGCAGGTCGATCTCCAGCTTGACGGACCACGGAAGCTTCGGGAGCCAGGAGTTGGGACGCCGTGAAGACAGCGACACTCGCGTTCGCTCGCGCTTTTCGCCGGCATTTCTACGACCAACCGCCAGGATAGCGACATCCGGCGGCATGACACTCCGGCTCCCGTGACGTCATTTGTTGCCACATCGCGACCACTTTTCATGTATGGGCGGGGGTAGAACGCTAAATGCGCCAGCCGAAGACGCGCTCCAAGCAGCGTTCTATTTTAGACAATTTAGAAAAAAAGTTAACAACGATTGGCGTTTTCCTTGACTTTAGTAAAGCGTTCGATTGCATCAACCATGGCATACTTTTAGATTCGTATTTTCGTATGGCTTTCGGGGTGTTTATTTTCATTGTTAAGGTCATATTTTGAGAACCGTTGCCGATATGTTTCCATAAACGAGCACAGGTCCTCCTTCCTTAACATTATTGCGATGTTCCCCAAGGAAGCATTCTAAGTCCACTTTTATTTTTATTTTATATAAACGACAAAGTTGCTTTTGACTCTGGTGTAGATTTTATTATTTATGCAGATGATACAAGTATGATCATTTCTGAATCAAATAGTGAACATCTTATTAGCAAAACAAATAATGCCCTTTCAAGATTAAAAACCTCGTGCATAAAACATTCCCTTCATATAAATGCTAGCAAGAGCAAGGCTATAATATTCCAACTACATTCCAGAACTCAAACAACCTCATCCTCTATTCTGAATTATGGCACTGATATTATTCGATAAGTTGAAAATGTAAAAACACTTGGATCACCTTTTTTTTGTAACATGTCTTGGAACGACGATATTAGGCGCGTTCGCCCTAAGCTTTCTAGAATAGTGGGTGTGATATATAGATATAAAAACATTTTACCCACAAGTATCAAAATTCTACTTTTTAAATCACTATTCTATCCCGGCTTATGCTACGCGCATCTGGTGTGGGGGTCTACCGGCACAACGAATTTAAACTTACTTCAAATATTGCAAAACAAAAACAAAAAACTTTTCATTCTTGCCTCTTTTTGAAAAGTAATCCATACTTGACGTTTTAAAAATTTATTCACACCGATTAATGTTAACATTCCGGTCTGCCATAAAAGGTAAATATAAAACATTTCTCGCCATTGCTGACCTTCATTTGCACGATTTCATTCGTCAAACCCGTCAGATAAATCTATGACATCTACCACAATCACGAACTAACTTTGTACGTCAAAGAATTAAACATGCACTTCCCGAGCTACTAAATCATATCGCATCATAAGGAATTGATGTTATGTCAGTGAGCAGGAATGATATCCCTTACATTGTATAGTACTTAAAACATATCTTCTATTGTATTTGTTTTTCTTTTTTTTTCGCTAATTTTGTTCTATTGATTGATATCCTTTTTTGTGTTGTGTTGCTTGCCTAGTAGGGGTACCAAGGGCCGATCGAGCTACGAACTGCAGCTTTTTTTTTTTTTGGTTTTCCCCCATTATTGATGGAAATAAATAAATGCTTCAAATGTTACAAGAGGGATACCTCACTCCGCGAAAATCCACTGGTTTTCGCACAAACAAGTTTTCCGTAGTTCGAACTGCTGTACTCGTATGCCCCGTGTTTATTTTTCTTTTGAATTTGAAGGGGCGGCTTCCTGCACAAAAACGTCGCGGGCGAGCGAGCCGTGAAAGCTGCTCGCAGCCGTCTCGGATGTCTCGGCGAACCCGGTGCCTCGGAGCGCCGGAGGCGACCCTCCTCCTCGACGCCGCTTGACTGCGCGACAGCATGGAGGGCGTGATGCACGTGCTATATCTGGGACGCGGTTTGCCCAAGACACCGCTAGGGGAGGATTTGGCACTCTCAGCGCGCTGTCTATAGTGCAAATGAACGCAGTGTAACGTATCGTCCCCAGTAAAGGTTTCGGTAAAACTTCGCGAGAGGAAAAAGGCGCTCCCTCTCCACGAAGCTGGAGTAGAGGAGGAAGCAGTAAAGGAGATTCCGCTCACCGCACTTCGGCACTTGTGGTTCCAGGCCGCATTCGAAAAAGCACACAGGCACAACTGAAAACGAGAAAAAAAGAAAGAGTGCGTCAACATTTCGCCGAGCACAAGGACCCAGTTACGTTCACATCGGGGCCGGTCGAGACATTTGCGCTAGTGTACGTACGACCGACTGCGTTACGACTCCACGCGTTCTACTAGAATCCGTTGCGCGGACCTCGGTTACCATAGCGCGTGTCCCACTGCGAGAAATCACCGGATGTCACCGACAAGATGAGAGCGGCCAGGGGGAGCGTCTATTGTCCCGCCTCCAGCGCGGGCCTCTAACCTTGGTCATAGCCTCCTCTATAAACTGACAAAGCCTGGCAGATCACTACGAGGAGCGGCCACCAAGATGTAAAAGGTGGAGCGGCAGACAACGGATGAAAGGAGAGCTACGTGACTGGCGCCCCGCTGCGGCGAGACGCCGAAACACACTTCTCCCGAGCGACCGGGTGTGTTTCGGGTCCTCGCCGCTGCAAAGGCTGTGCGCTGACGTCCAGGTTTTCCGAATAATGGCTCTTTGGTGATCTGCGCTACCAGATCCTCGCGCTCCAAATCTGCGACCGGGCACTCTATTGCTCCGTCGTCGAACTGCCAGGCTTTGTGAGTACAGAGGAGGCTATGCCTTCGTCCACTCTCCGGCGCCTCGTGTACCTCGAGACCGCAGACAAAGCACGGCGGAAGGCACGGAGCACGTGCTGGAGCCCGGCCGTTAGAAAGCCTTCTATCCTCAACCTGTCAGGGACAAAAGCGTTTTCACGCAGTCGCACGCTAACACATATACCCGAACCAGCACTTAAGTAACAAATGTGAAGGCACTATTGCTACGCGTAAATGCTCTAATAACCACGGAAACACAGCTACAGTTGAGAACTCGCACGTACGTCAAAGGCACGTGAAAACATAATGGTAGAATGAGTGGTTATAGCTTAAAGTCAATATTATCCGAGTTCTCCAATTCGACATGGGAATAAAAAGAAGTTTCAGAAACATAACCACAAATCAATGTCATATACTCGGTTCACCCTTAAGGCCCATTCACACTCTTGCGACCCAGTAAGACCGAGAGAGACCAGACCAATTTTTAAGCCTCTTGCGATATCTTAGGACCAGCTCCGCTGCAGCGCATCCAATCCTAAGAAGTCGCCAAAGGCTTAAAAACCGGTCTGGTCTCTCTCGGTCTTACTCGGTCCCAAGAGTGTGAACGGCGCTTTAAGCTGAGACTGCAGTTAAAACCACGAGCGCGAGCTAGCCCGCACCCCTGGCTTTCAGACGCGTCTTTCTAGCGCGAGCACTCGTTCCGCGGAAGAATGTTTCCAAGCCGTGACCTTGTGCTTTGCTGTTTGCTGCATTGGCTGCAGTATCAGCTTACGTTGCATTGGCTGCAGCCCGAGCTTACGTCAAGATCTAAAAAAAACAAGCTCGAAATATTAAACTATCGACGGCGAATGGTTTCGGGCCAGGAGTTAACGACATAATTAGGAGTATGTTACCTAAAATTCTGGAATTATATTTTGTTTTAATATTCGCCCGAGATGACTCATTCCATTTAGTGGTACGGAGCCCGTTGTCCAAAAAAGGCCAGAGCAGTTGTAAGGTTAAAAGAAAGAAAACGAAAAACTGCTCCGCGCTACACAATGGCGAATATGGTTGGCCCAAACAAAGCACGGCCATAGCAAAACTAAAAATAAGCAACACACACAAAGTTCGGCGCTCGTGGAGACGACAGTGTCCAACACACTGTTGCAAAGACAACATGGCCCTTCTTGTCAGTATATTGCAAACAGATCTTTTTTTTTTTCCTTTTGCTTTGTGAAAGAATAATTTTTTTTCCAAAGCGCCTTTTTTGTCTGGTTTTTTTTTTTTTCCGAACAAAGAGTTGTAGAAACATCAAAAAGTGTCGTGACCTCATTACTGTAAGAATTCATTGTTTACTCTCGGCCGAAGCTTGCACATATACCGGGTGTTTCGACGAAGTCTTTCGAACATTCCGCAAATACAAACGTTAAGAACAAAAACTCTTTTCGGGAACAAACTTCAGACATGCGGATGTAAGCTATTAAAAAGACATCTAATTAGCCGACTAATCAACTCACATTTCATAATTACAGTTTGTAACGCCCTTTGGTGACCAAGATTAATGCCATCGTCGCAGCTGCTGACAAGATGATCTCATATTCGTTTTAAACTTAGAGAAAATCTCTTTACCCAGCCTTGCAGCGCGAGAAAATATCAAACTCGTTTTCTGCAAAAAGCCAAAACGCAGCGCGTGAAGCCACTTGTGACCGCAGAAAGCAACTACACGATTCCTTCGGAAGTGACCCTCACGTTCCAAGTTATTTTGATAGGACACGCAACAGTTTCAAATTTGGCGAGCATATTTTAATAAAAGCTAAAAGGTGCAAAGCTCAGAGCTCAAATCAATATTTTGGTTCTCACACGAAGACCCCCATTTTTATAGGAATACGTGTACAAATACAAATCCGCAATCTACGCGGGCAGGGTGATGAGAAAAAACAATCGTAAAAATGACTCAAAGAAGGTAACATTAACTTCAAGCAGTAATCAAATTACTCCCTCGACTACTCGAGAGAAGAGAAACAAAAAAATTACGAGGTTTCCCCGTCAGTTCACGGAGCAGTAGGTGATCCTATCAACCGACGGGTGCGAGCAGCGAGCACAAAAAAAAAAAAAAAAAGAGAGCGTGGTCTGAAGGGCCGAAGCGGGGAAACGATGTGTCTATATACCCAGCTCGCTTTCGCTGCTCCACCTTTACCTTGGTAAGAAAACAAAACAGAGACCACCCCGCAAAGTGCTCGTTCATTACATCCACATTATCCGCGATCTGTCTTCATAAAAACAGTACTAAATCGCGTCTAGCGCAAAACAAAACCTGCGCAACAAGACCATAAAACATCTGGGCTCATTAGTGATAAAAGTGCTTAGGAATTAGCGCTGCAGAGCTCGTAAAAAAGAAGTGAAAATATAGATAAAAAATAAATAAGAAAAATGCGTATTAAAAAAATAAAAACGGCCTCGCTTCCAGCGAGACGGAGATAATGCGAGCGGCAGTGGGTGAAGATAATGAGCTCGCCTGCCCACATTCCGAGCCGATCGCGTTCAGGCGTCCCGGACAATCAGGAGCTCTACTTCGCCGACCAGCGGACGAACTAGGGTGCCTCCACGAGCGCGCATGAAGGCCGTCTAGGCTGATACCACCCAGAAGACGAGGCCCACACACTACGTCATCATTAGTGGATCCTCGACCTGTCACAGGCGGAAAACTAGACGAAAATGGACGACACTGCGTCGCAAGGTAGCAGACACGTGCGTCTTGGCCAGAGTTGCCAATTCACAAATCAAAAACACGCTAAAGGAATCCCGGAAAACCGCTACAAACCGCCAATTTTAAGGCGGTAATAATTACTTTTTTTTTTTTTTTTTAACTGTTGGCTGGTATAATTAATTTTAAAAAAAGCCAGGTTTAAAAATAAAAAATTCGGAGGACACCTATGCACTTCTTATGAGTTGTGAATGCTAAAACAAGAATGTCTTTCTTTCGCTCCCTTAGTTCGTCTGCGGTGTAGTGGCGAGGACGGGCAGGTTTCGCTACTGCCGAGGTTGCGGCCGCCAACGACCTACATGCTTCGGGCGCCGCCATGTTCTTCGACGCCGAGAGGAGCAGAAGCGGCCGCAGCCCCCCACCCCCCTCCGGCAACGCCCGACACGAGAGCGGCGGCCAAGAGCGCGCTCTCGTGACAAAGTTGTAGCGCGTGCTCAGAAATATCCAATCCAGTGGTTTTTATCAAAAAACCTTAACACAGTTCTTTTGTCTAAACTTCAAAAAAAAAAGCGCATGAATTATGAAAATAAAAAAGACATTTTAACGCGAATTTGTTAACAGCGCCCTGTCAACAGTGCTTTGTTCAGCATGTGGGCCTAGTTTATTCGAGCCACGGCTGAGAGCGCTGCAATACAATGTGCGGAAGTGCAAAGTCGCGTGTTTTTTTGTTTGTTTTTTTTTCGTAATTGAAGGGCTTTTCTCGAAGTCTAGAACAAAAGAACCTTGTTAAGGCTTCTTTATAAAAAAAAACACTGATTTGGATATTTCTGAGCACGCTCTACAACTTTGGAACTTTTCCTCTAAATTGATTATTTTAAAAGTTACTGGTTTAATCTTAATTAATTAGTTAATTGGGCAAAATGCAAACAAAATAGCCTGACTTGCTTCAAAGAACAAACAAACTTATTAATTTGGTTTTGTTTCCCTAAAATACACCAAAATAATTTTAAAGCTTGGCTAATATTACGTGGAACACTGTGTGGGTGGATACGAGAAAACAATGCGACACTCGACTCGTCAAACGGCAAAGCGCTGTTAAACTAAGCTTAAAAAAAAAGGTCCGATTGTGGAAGCTGTTGGTTCCATCACTCGGCGGACATGATGCGGCGCAGACCCGGTCGAAACGAGAGCACAAAGCGGGCAACCTAAAATGGCAGGGCGGTCACACAGCAATAACAACAGACCATATGCGGACATTCTCTGGTGATCTTCCTCTTATATGACGCCACGTTGGTCACACGCAAACTGTCTGCAGACAGGTACGAAGCAGACAGGGTTTAAGCACGCTCGAGGCCACAGATACTTCACGTGTCCAGCGAACACCGGGTGTTTCTTACGACCTACGACCGGTGTGAATGCGGCTGGAGAGAACAAAGCTCACTGGGCGGGCCCCTCACGTAGAATCGCACCCACTTTTTTTTTTTGCGCTTTCCCTTTGCGTGGCGTCCACCATGTTTCCCAATAAATAAGCTTCAATCCTCTCGGTGTCCAATGTCTTTTTTTTCCCCCGATAAACACGAAGATATATATATATTTTTTTCACACTAAACCACAGAACGGCTCACGCCTTCTCCAGGGCCAGCGCCATCTGTGCTTTACATGAAAAACGCGTCACAACTGTGGTCTGTGAGGCGCCGTAAAACCTTAGGCGGAAATTGGAGCTCCCTTTGTACGC